CAATTGTTATACCCTACACCAGGGTATATTAAGTTAGTGCGGACGTATGTAACATACAGAACGGCTTAAGACCTACTCAGCTTTTATTATAGCGTTCGATTCAAAATCAGGATCTGAATTGACCTAAGTCCGCATGTCCGTCTGATGGCTGTCCATGTAAAACTGTGTTCACGCTGCAGGTACAAATTTCCGAAATATTTTGATGAAATTTGGTACAATGACGTGTTTTGACCCAAGGACGAACGTTAGTCGAAATGGTTCGTATCGGTCCACAATTTTGATCCTCCTCATATGACGTGCGATTCTGAAAAGTCGTAATATGGAAAAATATTGTAATTTTCAAAATTTCTTTTCAAAAATAGCCAAGTAGTAGTATTTCGTAATTCTAAATTGGTATGAAAATTTTGGGGGCGCTGGGACGATTTTAAACCACCTCTCATATACGTGCATTAGGTGGATGTAGAATAACGACTTATCTAAATAGTGAATTAAGTGACGATCTGCACATGGTCTAAAGGCCTGACCAAAAGGATTTTGTGATGAACTTTTCGATATGTGCGCCCGCTGTTTAACACGGAACCTATAATGCGCGGTTCCGACACAACGCAGCGCAGGATTTGCGAATATTAGAACACTGTTTGGACACAACATCATTCTAAAAAATCAGATATATGATATTAATTTTTATGCTTATTTTATCGTTAAAGGAAATAGTTTCAACCAACTTTGAGAAAAATTAATCCGCAGGCCGAGCAGAACAAAATTTTGCGGTTATACAAAATTGTTTAGCAGAACATTTTAACCATACTCTATAAAAAATCTGTAATAATTCCCGTCTTTTTGTCCAATTTTAGCCTGAGCGAATGGATTTTTGTTTTCATATAATTTGTTTATCATGTGTGATCTCTTTTGCATATGTTTCAAAAAAAAAAAAACCAGCATACAACATGGCTTATAACCGTTCATTGAAAAGTAGAATTTCCTCTCAGCCAGCACAAGCACAAGGAAGGCACTTGTCTCGTTTTTAGACATGATAAATTAAATCGAACTGTGGATGATTCTGTGGATGTTGACAATAAAAAAATTTATTTTAAAATTTTTGCAACCCTACCACTAACGTTCATGTTCCCATTTATAGGACACATCCTGCTCGTATCGACGACTTTATCGATTCTTTTAAACCGAAAGACTTCCGCCATAGTGCTGACGGTTGATTTTAATTTACCGAAACGTCTCTTCCTATCTCAACGATAACTCAGGCCATACAGTCCTTTAATAAAGCACTTTATTTGGGCTTTCTTCGACGCTACCATATTTTTACTTGTAATGAAATATTGACAGGTTGATGTTTTATCCAAGATGTTTCTTGTTTACTTAAAGTACTGTATTATTATATATGGTATAAACTTCAATATTCCTGCCTTTTCTCCTACGAACGTTCTTTTTATAGAAGTCAGCCAATATATTCAGCCCGTTTAAGGTCCCTCCAATTATCTATATGATATCCATAATTTACCGGACATGTAGATATGAAATGCAGGACAGTTAGTAAAATGGATTTACTTTGCGAATTTTGAGCGCGAAAAGTCATGCGTAGGTCAATACGCACCATGCACACCGATCGTAAGAGATGATTGCCAGAATGGTGGGATTTGTTATGGACCGAAATGGTCGATGTTCAAATCATGACAAGAACATAAAAACAAAAAAAAATAAGACGACCTATATCATAAAACCAATAGTCGCTGGCGGCAGTGAATACGGCGAGTGGGAAAGCAATTCACCCTGGTTTTCATCGACTTGTAACACGGGGAATTGATGAAACAGTACTTTCTCCCTCTAAGGCAATTTTTTCTTTATTCCCACACTTAATCGGTCCAATAAAATCGTGAAATGGTCGCTATTGATCCGTTGTCCTTTTCCAAGATAGTCGATTAACAATTTACCATGTGCGTCACAAAATACGGATGCCACACTTTGCAGACCGACTTTTTTAATCGCTTTAGACGAATTTCATATGTTGTTTCCCATTCCGCTGCTGATATTTTTGTATCACTTGTATGGTAATGGATGTAGGTATGATCCCTTTTCATGTACACATGAAATTCTCTCGACCAGAGGTCTGAAGGGTTAACCCGTTGTTGTGTTTGGTTCGTTGGGAGCAAACGCCGCAACCACTTTCAAAAAGAGCTTTCTCATGGACAAATTTTCACAGAAAATAGTAAATGCACTGTCTTTTGATATGCTTATAGTGTCAGCTACCTTCTTTTGCGGTCTTCCAAAACAATTTTGTGCTTTTTTTTTAGTGTGCTGTGGAATAACTGTCGATTTCGGGCGTCCAGATCGTTCAGCGTCATCGATGCTTATACGACCGTAACATCATTATTAATTGCTTGAGCAAACCTACCATGATCTAGAAGATCTATTAAAATACATCACCATACCAATCAATAATAGTTGATTTCGCTGGTGCAAGATTTCCATAACACTTATCAAACCACTGCTTGGCTTCAACAATAGTTTTTCTCTGTATCTGTAAAATAATTTTCAGAACGTCACCAAATTTTGACACATATCGTTTGACGTTTGGTACTATCCACAAACCAAGTGGGCTTGTCAACAGTATTGCCATGCAAGCCTCAGACCGAAGGCTTATTAAGTGATGTGTTATATTAATTTTGTCAAAACATTTTCAACGTTTATAAAGCAGAAAAAACGTATTCTTAATTAGTACGAAATAAAATCTAGACATGTTCGCCTGTGTGTGTCCACTTGGCCTTTCGTGCACTGTTTGTGGTGGACAATTTTCCGGATGCGACAATTAAGATATCGCCTTCAAGTTTGACAAAAACTTGGTGACTTTTTGCCGATTGCAAGGAACTTACTAAATTAATCAAAGCACACGCCTGCGAAACAACATAAACTGAGAACACTTCTGCTGTCCGGTTGTTTGTTTATTACTCATAAGCTAGCATAGTAACAACGACCGCATTGTATGAGTGATCCTACTGCCTCTACAAAAATGGAAAAAATCGGTCGCTCTCACCCTATTTTATAGTATCTCACAATTTCATGTTTTTTTCCCAAACATTTGTAACGCACAGAAGCAAACTTGTGTCCGTACGCCCATCAACATTCCCCCGCTCGTAAAAATAAAGATATCGCCTACAAACTTGCAAAAGAACACTTTCGCTGTTTTATTTGTTTGTCACTCGTAAAATACAACACATAAACCATATAAATTTCCACTTTCATTCTGAAAATAGAAAAAACCAGACGCGAGCGCCGGATATTATAGAGTAGAATATAGACAGTAGAGTATGATAATTTCCGTTTTTTTTTTTTTTTGGAATCAGGGTGCTATGGGTATAAAAGATTTGGTCACGACCGAATATAGTTGTCTTACTTGCTAGATTATAGAATGTGTCCACCTTGACGCTACCTGCCTTAGCCGGAAAATGGTTCCATCGCAATTGCTAATGATGCTGTCTTTGATATCCCTAACACTTCGATGAAAATGTGAGATATACAAAAGAAAAATTTCAAATTATCGATGGTGGAACATTTTAAAACCTCCTTCCTAAAGGAACTAGCGCATGTGATACTATCGTACAGCTAAGTTCGTGCTAAACCGAACGGTACAATAATCAGCATCAATTATACCAAGCCGGAGAAATCTATTCGATTGCGACCGAATCTTTCATATCCATTACCGTTATCCTATACATCATTTTTTAATCTTTTTTTCAAGGGAAAAATATAAATTTGCAAGAAAAGTTCTCAGTTTTAGTTCGCGAACTTAATCTACCAAGTTACAGCTCCGAGCAGTCCTCATGATTTTAACAATAAACAAAGCAAATTCGTTAATATAAATAAGTTATACCCTTTCCTAAATCCAGGCGATAGAGAGTTCTGAAAATATTTGTGGTACAGTTGAAATGTTCTTACTTTTGAATAAACAAATATTTTAGATCATAAGTTTCTTAAAAGCTTCACACAAGTTCTAAATGGTACAAATATCAAGATTGGAAAAGTAATTATTGTAATTCGATTGTGATACCAACACAATTATTATTAAAGTGCAATTGTTGCTAACATCAGACAACGTGTAAATACCTAACATGAAACATAAAACGTAATTATATATGAAAAAATCCAAAAAAAAAGTAAAAAGGCGGCTTAAAACACAATATATATATAAATGATATGCATAGAAAACAAAATGATCAGAAGTGTGTTCAAAATTTTAGAATGCATTTATATAAAACTTTAAATGATTTAACAATTTCTTTCAGATAAATTTCTTATACGGAGTAAATTTTGAAGAAGAAGAGATCTCGTCAAAAAGGTAAACATATATAGTCATAGGTACTAAAAAACGAATTCCATATATTATAATGTATAAATGTTCTAATCAATGTAACAGCGTAACTAGTGCAAGTTTTTAATGTAACGACGAAGGAATGAAGAGGTTGAGATATATTCTATTGTATCATCTACTTGTTTATTCCTACAATGTTGTTTGTATACATATGAACGCATCGATATAATTTACAAAGATGAACAAATATACCAAACTTAAAATAGAAACAAAACTAACGTTTATAAGAACATATGAGCTGCAAAGTCCTGTCATAATTACGGGAAGAACACAAATTGTTTTATCTCATTTGCAATATCCACAAATACAGAAATTTCACATAATATATATACACATGATGTTAAGTCAAATTACGCATATTCTTAAGTTTGCAAACGCGTTTTTAGTTGAATTCCACCATATCAACTTTAAACATATTATCGAAACTGTTTATAAAATCTTTTTAAAATATTTCGATATAAAATGTTTCGATGGGCCATACAACACGCCCCAAATTAAAATCTCACCTCCTGTATGCGGAGATAAATGTGGTTTCCGTGCCTTTTTTCAATTTCTATCGTTATTTATGAACACGAACATATTAGGTTTAGAAAGTTTCTTACATAAAAACAAAACTCACCCGAATGAAAAGTTGAACGTGATGGAACATTCCTCGGAAAATGTCTGCCAGACTTAACAGCTGATGTCACTCTAAGATCGTTGAACACACTATTTTTGTACGTTTATTGAAATGCGTGGTGCATATTCATGGAATCGTTCGATCATTGGAAAGCATTAGTTTTCGTTATTGAGTTATTGTTTCAAAATTGGTACAAAACATTGGCAGGCATAAAAGAATTAATTAGTTATCGGCGCATGTGTAAACAATGTAAGCAGTTCAGTTTTTTACCGTTTTTAAAAGTAATGTTTAAAAAACCGAATTTATTTAATCACGTTTGTCGAAGGAAAGAGTTTGAATTGATTTAAATTTTTTTTTTTTTATATTTTGTTAGAATTGTTGTACACAAAATTGGCAAACAAAAAGTAGAATTAGAGGAATGTTCATGCAAGTAGAGAGCGGTAAACCAATAAGCACAATGATTTATTTGAAATATTCCGCATTGTTGAACAGAGGTCGGGTGGTTGTTGAATTTATTGTTTGGTCGATTAATTAGTTTGTGATAGTTGGTGGCGGTGGTTGTAACATGCAAAAAATATGAGAAAAATACAAAATGAAATAAATTTTGGAACAAAAAATAAAGAAAATTAATTATATACTTCTTATTTGCTAAACAAACATAGAAACCCTTATTAAAAGAAAATAGTGGTTCGTCTTTTTGATAGGGGAAAAAAGATTCAAATATTTGTGACAGACCGTACCACAAAGATCACAAAGCTCAGAGAAATTTGATGAAAACCCGAAATCTTATTAAAAAAAAAAAAATAAATAACAGTACAAAGTACAGAAGAATGAAAGAATTACGAACGAGTAAGCAATTTTTGGAAAGAGAATTCATGAAATTATTGTATTTAAAAAAAAAATTTTTATTTCTTTTTTGAAAATAAGAGATAATTTTTCTCTTGATCATCACCAACCCTATCTTACACGATGCCTTGTTTTAGTTAATTATTCAATTCTTAGCACATGTCATAATTTTATTATTAAGCTTAGGAATTATTATTTGATACTCACCATTAATTTTATATTTTAAATATTTATTGATTTTTTGCGAAGGATAGATACAATGGTATTTGTGTTAGGTTGCCAGTTGTAGAATTTTTTTTGGAACATATTTATACAAATAGATTTTAACGATTTCGTTTCAAAAAGGAAAGTAAGACAAAAAATATAAAAAGAAATTAGCGCTTTGATGGAATTTGAAAAAATTATTTTTTATATGGCTAGAGATAGGATTTTAAGAAAAGCAAGTAAGTTTTTACATATACAAAACGTGGTTAATATCATTTACAATGCTTTTTATTTAATATTGACTTAATTTTAATTGTAATATTAAGTTCAACTTTCAGGTTAAATGAACGGACAAAAAAGCTTAATTGAAATCAAAAATATTCTTATAATGATTTTAATTTATATTTTGTTTCTACTCTAAAACTGTTCATGGAGTTGATGCTGATCAAGTTCACTATATCGACACGGTTTTAAAACTTTACTCTTTTGGTGATTTTGTTTTGTTAGTTTGCTCAACACATGTATTAAAAGGTATTGATTTTGATGTTAGTAAAAAACTTTTTTAAAAGGCTGTATAAAATTTTCTGGGGTAAGCTATTATTTGAAATATAAAAATGTCAACAATCACATACGAATTGTACATACTTTGAGTCTGTAGAAATAGCATTTGTTTTTTCTGTTGAAGATGTCTTCTCATACAGAGTCGTAGAACGTCGAGGCATCATGCTAACAGTAGCTGCAGTTCGGTTACTATTCGGCGCTTCATATTTAGGTGTAGAGCGTGGTTTAGCGCTGCTTATAGTAGCTGTTGATAAAAATGAAAGGCAATGGAAATAAGCCTATTTTACTTTTGATTAAAATGAAGTAAAAAAAAAAAACACTGGCTTAAGTTTGTTACTCGTGCAATTTCGTCAAAGAAAGTTTCACATAAATGTACAGCTTGTAAGAATATAAGTGTTAACCGCGTAAAAACTAACTTTCTTTTCGGATTAACTACGTATTATTTAAAACAACATACTAGCATTTTAAATAAAAAGTAGCAAAATTACATTCGTTTTGAAGTTCATCTTCCAACACCTGGCTACTATATAAAATGCGAAGTATTTCATTAACTTGTGAGTATTAGTTGACCAGACGTCTTTATATTGGCCTTTTAGAAACACCTAAAAAAGTATTTGTGTATGGTCGTAGATGAAATACATTTTGAAGCTTAATCTGCGGACAACAGTTGACAAAATTTTCGATTTGAAAATCTTCAAAAATGGCGGAGTGAAAGATTAAATATACTGCGTTCCTCGATGCAATAACAACAGAAGTAAATGATATTTCTTGTATATAATCACTAACTTGAATATTCTCTATTCGATTTCAAACAATTTCAAAGGTACACAACCATATCAACTATCCTGCCACTCCTTGTCAAACTTTAATTGTCCAAGAATGTTTCTGTGTTTAAGCACTTTCGTTTTAGATTTGTATAATTGTTGAAGCTGAAGTTCTACTCAAGTCTTGTAAGATCTTAAAAAAACACAAATTACGTTTATAAAGACCAATACTGACATGTATCTGCTGTTGTTAATAACTTATGAGTAGCAGAGGCAGGCCTTTGGCTTTGGGCTGATAATCGAGCCGTATTTTCTTTGATAGTGGCCGCGTCAATTGTATTTTGGCGTTTAAAGTTACTGCTACTGTAAATGAAAATTTCAATACACGTTATACAAATAAGCGCATTGGCACGAAAGAAACTCTTACATTGATGACCTTTCAGCGGAAGACGCAGTACCAGCAATAGTATAATTATTGCTAGCCGGAACGGTGCTGGCTGTTCCAATAGTGGATACTTGGACAGCAGTGTTACCCGGGGCCAAACCTATTCTCGGTGAAATAAATTTTAATTTCCCATTATTCGTTTGTCTATCGAGACTTACGTAACGTATCAGCACCGGAAGACGCTCTACGACTTGGTTTTGTACTAGAAGCTGAAATACTTCTGTGAACACCACGATGCGTCGGGCTTTGTAAAGTGGTATTAGTAGATATAGTAGTGCCATCGTTTCCAGAAATATTGCGCAAGGACAAAGAAGAGCCAGAACGAGAGCCATCACTTTCAGGCTGAAAAACAGTAAGAGGATAATGTCAATATTTATTAGTATTATAATTTATTTTAAAATTACAGACGCAATAGCTTACATCAGTACTTTTCCTTCCTAACAACAAATAGGTGGCAAATACGTCATCATAACGTACTTGTGTTAAAGAGGCCTCAATTTCTTGTCTATTGTAGCCCATTGCCACTAGAGCTTCTGCGTTATTTTATTAAGTTTTTAATTAGCAGATTATCAAAAAAGAAAGCAATAAAAATGCGAGTTAGAAGTTTTTCATTCAAAAGATAAAAATGATGTTTATAAGAGTTTGCTATTAAATCTACTCTAAATTAGGTACTGAGACAAATTACCATAATTTCTTCACAATTATGATAAATTTAAATAATAGGTGATAGCGAAGTCCATATTTATTTAGAAAAAATGTACCCGACAGTCCGAAATTTTTTTTCTAGGGCATATATACTTGGTTTGCTATTATTTTTCGTTTTTAAATTAAAAAATCCCAATGTAATCGAATGCTTCCCATAAATAAAAAAAAATCCAAACACGGACGCACCCACACTCGCTCACACTTTATGTTAAAATACATATGTAGCCTAGACAGATTGCGTGGCGCAATGAAATTTGTTGAGAAAATTAATTCAGTTAACGTTTGGCGAACCATATGCTAAGATTGGACGTTTAATTAACTGATCTATTTTTGGTAGTCAGTACATCCTGTTCAAGTTTAATTGTCAAATATTAATCTGTTACATGTGTTTCACGCTGCAGGAATGGTGATTATGATGAAATTTGTAGCTACACATAGCGCATCAAAGTTTGCGACATCATCACATGTATATACACGAAAATAGAGAGGAGTTTTGTTATAGACAGATTAATACAATTGAGCTTGGTATACAGTACCCGTCTTACCTATCCGTTTCGGATCAGCTAAATCTTGTTTAGGTTCCATATACGGTTTAAGTTCGTCATCTTCAAACCCCATATTCATCCATTTATCACTCATTATAGTCTCCAGGCTGGCCCGTTTTGCAGGATTTAATACCAAAAATTTACGCAAAAGATTTTCACAGTCAGTAGACATGTAGAAGGGAATCCTGTTAAAAACGCAATTGAGACAGGAAAAACAAACTGCATAAAACAATAAGTATTAACCTATATTTGCCTCTTAGCACACGTTCGCGCAGTTCACGTAACGTTGAACCATCGAATGGCAGGGAGCCGCTCACCAGAGTGTACAAAATCACTCCCAGAGACCAAACGTCGACTTCAGGACCATCATATTTTTTGCCCTGGAACAATTCTGGTGCAGCATACGGTGGACTACCACAAAATGTATCTAACTTGGAGCCAGGAGTGAACTCATTTGAAAAACCAAAGTCTGCGATCTTTATGTTCAATTCGCTGTCTAGCAGCAGGTTCTCCGCCTTTAGATCTCTAAAAGGCAAAAGAATGAAATAATACGTTATCAAATTTCTAACAAGTGTAGCGTTCATCTATCTTTACCTGTGTATTATACGTTTTTGATGGCAATATTGTACCGCCGAAACAATTTGGCGAAATTTAACTCTTGCCTCCTTTTCTTTCATACGACCATGTAATACTAAATAATCGAATACTTCACCACCGGAAGCATATTCCATTACCAGATATAAGGTCTTTTCTGTTTCAATTACTTGAAATAGTTTCACAATATTGGGATGATCAAGCATTTTCATTATTCTAACCTAGAAAAGAAGTAACATTGGTTTCTGATAGAATGCATGTAATCACAGTTAATCATTTTAGCTATAATTTATATAAAAGAATCCTTCGTTGCTATACTGATTGCCGACAACTAGACACTCTATTTCCGTTTTCCCGCCAATAATAGATACGTATATTCAATATAGTTTGTGGTCCGATGTCTGTCGGTTTATCTGTCTGTAGGGCTTTGCTGGTATGTTAATGATCGAAAAGCCTAGATAAAAAGCAAAAATTTAGCGTAATCACCATGGTATCCACAAAGTTCAAAGTCGCACTTCATACCATATCTTAATCTAAGAAGTGGACATTTTAACAAACTCATAACAGTTTCGGCTTATACTGAATAACAATTTTAGGTTTTTATGAAAATTTTTCCATAACAATTGCATTGTTTAATACTATAAGACGCACACTAATCCATTTACATTTGACTTTTTACGTAAACATTCAAAGGATTATAGTTACATAATCATTGCATTTATTTCTACTTAATGGGCATTTATAAATTTCTGTACTTCTTCCCTTTCATTGTGTTCTCAACTTACGTTTCCCTTTCATAATCGTATAGATAATGAATACTTTATATTTGTAAGAAATAAAATTAAGAATAAACAATATAGGATATACAAAAAGATGAATAATTTCAAGAAGTAGTCCATTTGATATATTAGTTTTGCTTTCCTCTCTCATTTTAAATGCTTTAAAAGACAGCCGAGGCTATACTTGCATAATAATAATAAATAATAATTAGATTGTTCTTTCAATAACGATAATTGCGAATAGAATATTAAATTTCAAACAAACTTTTTGCAAATACGTTGTTAATATAAAAACTTATCCTTCCTCTGTATAGCATCTTTTAAAATGAGAATTATGACTGCGCAGTTATATAACCAACGTTCGATTATAACTTGTTGTATGTCTAGCTGTCGATAACGAATGAGTTCATAATTCAACTAAATTTAATTTTTATTTTATTAATTCCTGAAAAAAGATAGAAACGGTACCCAATTGGATTTCTTAATGTCCACCATGCGCTTGATTCAATATATTTTGTGATCACGTACATTTGTACAATTTGCCAGCGTCTCATGGGTAACCACTCAAGCTAATACCATACCATATATTCAGTCACATGTATTTATAGTTTTCTGATAACTATGAGCGAAGCATTGATTAAAAAATTAAGCAAAAACCCTTTTTCGTGACAGAATTTTAATAACAAAAAAACAGCGTTATAATTTTTAGACGGTAGTTTTTTTAAAAATTTGAGCGAGATACTGTGACACAAAAGTGAATAAAAGCCAAACTTCGTTCTGCTGTTTTCAGATCGTTATGGTGATTTTACCAAATCGAGAAATCAAAGACAGACCTGTTAAAATTGGTCCCTCTTTCTACGACGAGCAAGACAATATATATAAGATCGCTCCTCTCTGTATAAACGCATCTCCGATCAGGTTACATTTCACAACATTTCCCTAGTTTTAAACAATTTTTGGTTCTTACAAGATTCATAGAATATATATCTTACTCCTGTCGACATAATTTCTGCCCATCTCTGCCATATGCTTTATGGAATATTCCATGGGAATATCTAAAAACATTAAGAAAATCATATACACGTTTTCGGACGGGTATAAAAAGCAAGTGAGCTGAAATATTTTCAAAGAAATATATTTATCTCATTCTATGGCGAATGTTATTCTTCATCTTTGAAGTTTCCATTCCATTCGTTTGTTGTTAATGAAAATATTTACAATAAGAATTTCTCTAGTGCTAATTCCAATTCTTCTGTTGCTTACGCCGATGGTATCTGTTTAGATAGTTATTTAGTTCAATTAGTTTTTTAATAGTTAGCTTGAAAAAATGTAAGAAATTATTTTTTCGAAAAGGAACACATTCTTAACGGAACACCTTATAGACACAAATAAATTGGACAACACACGATTTGGCATATTGGATTTTCCCTAAACGAAGCAATCTCCGATTGTCCGATCTCGAGCAATTGATGATCCCAAAGGCTAAACAACTTCAGTAACAGCTTAATTGGAATATGCGTCCAAGGTGTGGTTTCCGTCTAAATTTATCTTTTCGTACACCGCAAAAGAGTATGGCTTGAAAAAAACGCCGCAAGATTACATTTTTATACAAAAACATTAACAAAGCGCAAAATATTGCTGAAAATATCAACCATATGATTTCATTTTATTTTCATATACGCATCAGTAGAAACAGCTAAATGACAAGATATCGCAACACTTTGCACAAAATTAGCAGTAGTAATTATCAATAACGGTAGCAGCGATTTAACTGCTTGCTCTCTTCATTGCCCCTATTTGTGTGGGTGCGAACTGTTAGACTGTTACATTGTTTCAAAAGTTTACATACCAAATGCAAATGGATTTCTCTATTTTTAAGTGAATATAGGCTAGATGTAAGTGTGTATGTACGAAAAATTCAAAAAAGTGGAAAGAATAAACGATGAAAATAAATATCACCGTTTACTTTATATTGAAGAATTCTAAATTTCGTGTTCGTCAACTGTTTCAATAAATGAGCCGTTTTCTTTGAAAGCGGTGTAAGTCTATTTTGACAAAAAATTATTTCATGATAAAAATGAATACATTTTTATCCTTCAAAATCATAGTTAATGAAGTTACAAATATAATTACTTTGAAAATTGGGTATGTCCATTTCCCCCAAAGACACGCTACTATTTAGTTCAAAATTGAACATTATTTCTTTAGTGCATTTTTATTATTGTGAATATTCTACGAAAACGAACAATAATATTAACACGCAAAAGAACAGAAAAATGAAGCACAATAGCCGACAAAAATATTACACAAATATAAGTAACATAGTTCTAGCCAAAAATTTTAAAAATATTTAATAAAAATTTCATAAAAAGAAACATGTTTGCTTAAATTGAGATCCCGTAGTTAACCTTTTGTAAATGTAAGATTTCTACTTTTCGCTAACTTTGAAAGAGGTTTAAGTCCTTTTGAAGTCATTAAAAGTATAAATTTTTGTTAATCACATTTAAAAATTGATTGCATGATAAATATAAATCAATTTAATATTTAAAAAATACAAAACTGGTGTAACAACATATATGCATATTTTTCAAATTAGTCAAGTGGAAAACCTTAAATGTCTGCATATAAAATAAAATGCACTTACACCACTTTCAAAGAAAACGGCTCGAATATTAATATTTTATGAAGAAGTTGTAGGATTAATTTATTTTTATTTAAATTACTTATTATATATATTTTGATAAATTTTATTCGCATTATGTTAAAATGTTTTTAGCCTTCAATTTAAAATCTAATTTAGATAATTATATGATGCTCCTATAAGCTGATGTTCTTAAACTTACAAAACTACGAGAAACTTTAATTCTCAAGGGGATGGGTTTATTCGTAAGTATTTCATTGATTCACATATATTGGAAAATGAAGATTTGTTTATTGATTTCCGGGTTTTACTCGATCAAGGCTAGATCAGATAGTTTGATGATTCATATGCTCCAAAAAAGCTATACGCTTAGGGAATAGGGTTGGTGACGTTAGTCTCTTTGTCATTCTACGAAGATAGATTGTATCCTTATCTCCGCCAGAGAAACGAATGTGTAACCTATCGCCTTTTTGAGCTAGTAAATGGTGTTATTGGCTTACCGGTTGTATTGAGGGAGGTAAACAAAACAGAACTCGGTTAGAGTTTTTTCCAAAATGTCTGACTCTTTAGACATTAAAACGATCGTTTTTAATATGCACATGTTGCTTATGTCGTACTTACATTGACTTTTAACCTTTAAAGCATTGCACGATTCTAATTAAACTTAATCACAAAACGCACATCTAAATTCCGAAATTTGGTTACCCACAACCATCTGACCGTTAAAATCATTGTAATTAATTATCTCGCAAAATAAGATTAATTAAGAATAGGAATTCACTGATTCGATTCATGAGTGTGTGTACTGCGATACATACATTACGTAAAAGTTATGCTTTCATAAATAATAAGACAATGTTTTTTGCGCCGAATATACATAAAAAACCTAAATTCCTGTACGAGTAACATATCAATAAGTACTTATGAAGAAGTCCTCAGTGAGTAATTTGTGGAGATATAATGCACCGAATTAGAGACAGATAAAATTTTGGATAATAAATATGGAACGACGCTAAGTTTCAATTTCTCATACTAATTGGTGGTGACTCTGAGAAATTGGGAACTTTACAGTGCTGTAAAATTATATAAACCAGAAACGTAAATATTAGGCATTTCATTACAAACGACACTATTGCCTTAACGTAAACCTTATGTCCCACCTGGATCTCCCACGTTTAAACTCATCAACCTTTTTTTAGTCGCTAGCGTAGGAAAAATTTCAAATGGCTCAATTTTAAATTTTTAGTTGAATTTTAAATACATTGTATATGATATAAATATGTATGCTTATATACTTACTTCTCTGAAGAGTTTTTGGAGCGAACCCGGATTCAATTGAGTTTTGTCAATAATTTTAATAGCAACTTCCTTGCCAGTGGGCAAATGTTTAGCCAATTTAACTTTAGCAAAATTTCCCTTGCCAATCGTTTTAATAAGTTTATATTTGCCTATGTGTTCCTCTGTGGCACGCCATCTCATAGGCGCACTGCTGCGCAATGCCATATTAGGAGATCCCTTTAGCCGTATACAGTAAAATTAATTAACATATTTCAAGACAAGAAAGATTATATATATATAGATACAACACAAAAGAGACAGAGTTTAGAAGTTTCGTTCTTGCTATGGTTGCATAATTTCTTTAAATTAATAATTACCTTTTTTGATTTTGATTTATAATTGCTTTCGATTTCTTTGTGACGAAGTCTATCTGCTTTACTAGTAGCCACAATTGGCAAACCACCATTCTCTATCATTGTCACTACTACTTTATTGTTAGCACTGATCGGCCCTTGCACCTCTTTGGCTATTGGCAATGTCCTTGTATCATGATTCGAATTTGTGTTCATATTTAGCAACGGTTGTTTTTTCTCTAAATAAAGGCAATCTTTACAATTTTGAAATTGTTTGATGGTAGCAGGTGTATGACTCTTTGATCTCTTTAAAAAGCGTATAATAGAATTTTTCGTTTTGGCTGGCTTGTCGTTATTGCAATTGTTAACACTACTATTAGTACTATTCATTATGGTGTCAATAACCAAAGGTGTACGTTCCTCAGACTTTTTGGCACCCATGATATTGCATCCGTTGTTATTATTGAGTTGTAAACGACGAAAGTTGCCGTCACCTAATCTTACATAGCAGCCTTCAGACATTTTGTGGTATGAATCAAAAGGCAGTTTGTGAAAGTTACCTTGCGGGGTGCGGTAATAACAATAGTCGGTTTTATGATATCCATTCTCAATCGCTGATGTATTTTGATGTTGCTTTTCATTTTTGGCAACTATCTCTAAACGTTTTAGTTCGCGCTCAGCGTTAAAAGTTCCTAAAGTAATAGGACGGGAACGACTGCCTTTCGACGATGTTGTTCCTTTGCAATCGCTTGGACGTTTGCTACTGCTGTCATGGCATTTACATTCGTATGCCTCAATTGCGGGAATTGTTGCTTTAGGTGAGAATATGGTATTCTGGCTTTCGTCACAAATTACTAAATGGTTGTTATCGTTAGCATTTCCATCTAAATTATCATTGTAGCGTTTGTTATTATAGTTACTGTTTTTATTACTACTTATCGGTTGACAAGGAGCTGCAATACTTGTCGTCTGTCCCATATTCTTATGACTATTTCCGTTTATTTGCTTTATGATTTGTAAAATGAACTAATTCACTGTAAGATTCACTCACTCCCTTAAACATCTTCTAAATGCATATTAGGTTCATCTGTGTTTTTTTTTTACAGTTTTATATTTTTAGCGCTGGTTATTTTAATTATCCTTTTTCAATTATTTTCGTGTTCTTGGCTATTAACTTAAACACATGTGTAGTAAATATATTGACATTCCTATATATTGTACAACAAAGAAAATAAAAGGAATGTGATGTTCCTGGATAGGTTAAGATTACGCTGGGTTATAATATTTAAAAGGCGCTACAATTTTAATCCCTCTTTTATGATTCGGGCTACCATTCCTAATATTGTGGGAAAAATAGATAATTGTCGTTTTCTTAAATCTTATTTTCGATACACGTCGAAAATAACTTGAAAAATTTCACCGTACTAAAAAGGATGAGAAGGAATTAAAAATGGGGCAATTTTATACCACACGCTCAACATTAATTATGTTTAAGAACACATGAAATGTCCTCAATAAAAATTACTCATAATTGAGAATCTTATTACATAGGAAAAGTCAAAAAATTATGCAATTTTTTTAAAGTAATTTGAAATTTGACACTAAAAATGAATAGATAAAGACTATTAAGAAAAATTTTGTTGGCAAGCAAACAAAAGTAAGGTATGAAGAGTAGGTTATAAAATCCCTGATGTGATGAACTTAATACATTCCATTCTCCTCTATTCCAATAGCAGATATAAACAACGACATCATTAATGTTTACGTAACAAAGCAATTCGAAGAAAAATAGTTAAATATGAAAACTCTTTTCATAAAGGTCAAAAAAATTCGATATCTTTTAGGCAATTTTCTAGTTAGCTTGGATTTCATTTTACAGTACTTTTTATCACGCTCTAAATTCATTCAATTCATACAGTTTAATGTGAGGAAAGAACCAAACTTTTCATACTAAAAGGCCAAGCCGATGAAAAATAATAATTTATTTTTATCATCTTATTAGAGTATTTTAAGCTAAAGCTTAAACAAACATAAATTCGAGCTTAAATAACATTATACAGTTTTTTTTTGCATTTTTGCTCTTTCTCTCTCTTCTCTCTCTTCTCATAAGAAAATTTATCGTGCGGCTGGTGTTTATTTTGATTCAAAATGCAGCAAACGTTTTATAACAAATCCGACAGTAGGGAATATTGATGGGTGAGTTTTGTCATTCCATTTGTAACATGTAAAAACGCTCAGAAAATTCCCCAAATAATAAACAAAATCAGAGTTAAATTGATATACGAACTCAGTCATCCGAAAGATAAATTTTGAATCCATCTATCAATAATTCATTGGACTGAATAAATGTCAAACAAAATGTTGGAAACAATGGTTGTCACAATTCCACGCAAATTTGATAATTCGTTTACGAGCTACATGGTTTTAACGACGTTATTTTAGCTGGTTCCACACCAATGGGGAAATGTGAATTTCGTGTGTTGATTAAAAACCCTGCTTTTTGATGGAAAAAAAATTTCATCATTGGCCTTTGAAGTGTATTAAGAACTTTTCGGCGTCGGAAATTATTTTAAATGATATCGCGGAGAATGCGCGCTTTTTCACGATTAGGTATTGAATTAGCTGAATAGTAAAAAGCAAAAGCAGTCACAACGATATATACCTATTATTGTCGATTACGTTTTTTTCTTTCCTTTTCTTTTCTCTGCTTTTATCTTATTTTCTTGTGTTTTTCTCATTTGTCTCTACTTGTTATCTAACATTATCAAGAAATGAGCTTAAAATTTATATATATAATGTACAACAATAACGATTGCAGCACTAAAAGCAACAACGCGTAAACATTCTTTTGCAAATAGGTATTTTCCATTGCAATAGGTAGATTTTCCTATTATGTGATGTATAATCTATGCATAAGCGAATAAAATCAAACTGCAAGTATGAAAACGCATTTGAATTTTTGCACACGCACTACATAACTGTGACATGTTTCCCTTTTTTTACGATGTAAATTATACATAAACACACACTTGGAAGATACGTATAAACGAGGCAATATTACAAAGAAAACTAGTAAAATCAACACTTGGCGATATCATTTCACACAGTGACTTAAAATTGTGTTTTCTTTATTTAGAGATCAACAGTAATTCACATTTTTCTGTGTTTGTAAGAAATTACGATTTTCGCAAAATGAGATATGTAATGAGATGATCTGACAACAATTGCCAATGAATTATTTTCGCAATTACCGCTGATGATAGTGTTTCGGAAATTGTTAAGCTTGCACTGAAACATTTAAAAAAATTTCAATTGTTGAAAACATGTCCCAATCCGCGAAACCAGTCAAGTGTTTCAGCAGCAGTGACAGCAGCAGCACAGAGCGCTAAACTTTGTTTACACTTATAAAAAACATAGTCACACATATAAACATTTGCATGTACATAGATATGTACATTTATAAATGTAGATATAAATATACTGTTTATGTGTGCGTATTTAAATATGTGTGACAATGAACTCACAAACTCTTAAGCTTTCCATAATGTAGTGTGCGTTCGATGAGGGCATAGCTTAATTCTCTACATTCAGTTGAGGTGTGCAGCAGTAAGTTTTCGTATTGCCTGACTAATAAAAACAAGTCATTTACACATGCCAGGCAGTTAGCTACTCACTCACCGAATCAGGAATTCGGAGAGAATACGAATGTGTATACATCTGCAGTCAGAAATTAAAAAGAATCTTTTCAACAGTGCTCATTTGAAATATTTTCATGTCTTAATATTGAAGCAATTGTTTTTCTCTTTACTTATAATTCTATACAAAACATCAAGGTTTTAGAAATGTGATCTATTTAATTGGAATACAACTTCAGCTAACATGAATATTGGGTAAGAGAAGCTCAGTGACATTTTTGCTAATAAAAGATTTTGCAACCGCGAAATTTTGGTAATAATAAATCTATCAACTCTAGAGCATGTAGAAACTGAAGATCCATAACTAATTAAAAGAAAAGAACTTTGTGACATTTGCCAACTCAGTTGAAAGTAAAGCAAAAGAAGAAAGCAAATAAATCAAAACTTTGAAAAATTGTCTATTCTGCATTATTACTTTTAGTAACGCGATGACGAAACTGACCAGTGAAAGTCTTTATCGAAATTAACAGAAAGCGTATAAAAATTTTTCCATCAAAAATACATCGCGCTCTGTTCTACAAATTTAGTTGACGAAATCGGTTTAACTCGTCAAAAAGTTGAAGGCCTGCACGTTCCATCGTGTGACATCATCATCGTAGCAATAAAAATTGACAAAACGCAATCTTGACGACTTGCGGATATATATAAAAAAAGAAGAAGCAAAAGCATAATGGCGTTACAAAAAGAATTTCAGTATTTGAAGTTCACATTAACGGAAAACGAGCAATTGACGGAATCGGAAATGGGCAGTGAGCATTGGGCACGTTCTAAAATAACCTGCGTAAAAACTCATTGTTTAAGAAGGATCAAGCTGCGCAAATGATGGATTAACACAAAGCACTGGCTTAAAATAAGGCATCCTAGACTGATCAATGGGATAAGCGTAAATCTTTCATCACGAAAATGCCACACCCACCACATTTTTAACTGCTGGGTAAAAATTCAAAAAGCTTGGCTCGTACGTTTCGATTTATTCATTGTGTATCCCGATTTCTTTTTTATGCGGCTATAGGTAAAACCTTGGCTGCTGAAGATTTTAATGTGTAAAAAATTGCACCTTCTCTAACCGCCACAAGTTGTTTCATATATGTTCACATAAGAGCAGTAACTGCTCACTTAAGTAAAAGCTTATTTAAAAGAGTTTTTTATATAATTTATTTTTACCATTTTAATCTATTACAATTCAACTTATTTCTCTTCTAAGAGTCTCATTCTTTTGATTTCTACGTGCTCATTTAACATTGTAAAGCGCAATTCTAGTATTTGTAAGCCTTTTAATAACCTTACTTGACTCAGCGCGACATAGCCTCGACCGCTTGTAAATATCTTGGGTCCTAGGCACATTGCGCCATGACCTGGCGCATTGCCTTGCATAATGTGCGCTATAGACCCCAAAACAATACGCTTCATGATAGTCCGCGCTTCGCCGCACCCTACTTGGTTTTTACTAATAATCGCCTTCAAACGGTATTTATTATATCGATATCATCTTAAGGGAAGTCTATGCTTACTTATGTGATTAAACAAGCGTGGAGTGTGGTAGATCGTAGCGTCATTGCAAATTTTGCATATATCTTGTACAAACATTCATTTGAATCTGAAGTGATCTAGTTTCCTACGATTTTGTGAAAATATTTGTTCATTTGTTGGATATATAACCAGAAAAGAAGAATTCATCAGCATACCTTTCAATTCAGATTCATTAAGACCACGATATATAACACATCACTCAATAAGTTCGTAGGACGACATAAAGATGCAGGATGACTATTGAGGAATCCCTATAATTTGTAGACACTATCAAGCAGCTTGTTAAAATTTTATGGCATTGTGACGTCACAATTAGTTTATTGATGCTACAAAAGAAATTCACGTGCTTCCCTTGTTTTACAAAAACAAAAGTAACGTCACCTCTACTGCTGTATCTTCTAAACTAATGGTCAGAAAGTCCCACAACTTTTAAGCAATTCGTTTGAAGGTTGGTACTAATAAACAAATAAAAACACTATAGTGGCCCATGGCTCACCATTAATTACTTTAGGTCATCCTGCGGTTGGTCTTATAACGACTTTTTAAAATAGTGTTTTATATGGAAACTGATCAAAGAACGTAGTCCAAACCTTTCGCCTTGAGGCCAAAGCATGTCCGTATACCGAATCATCAATATATACCAAAAATTGTCACCTATAGATCGAACATAAGAGCAATCTTAGATTGATTCCAAAAGTGATTCGGAATCGGCCGGTATAATAAAAGATGGGTCTATCCCAAGTCTTTCTGGGTATCGTCCACATTTGCAAAGACTTAATGTACGCTTGCACCACAAATAGTGTAGGTTATAAAAATTGCATAGATTTGTTAATAGTGACGATCTCTTTCAATTGTCCTGCCCACTGCATTTAAAATATCAATGAATGTATCGTCCCCATTATCTCATGTACGTAATTTGCTTTTTATAAGCTTAATATACCTAGACAACTAAGGCGATTCTTTATTTGGTTTTTTAGAATACTTTTTTAATTTTTTTTTTAATCCAAATATTCTACTTTTCTAGTTCGGCACTCTTAAAGCAAAATTTATAAATTCATATCACACATTTTAGCCTCTCAGCCCTTTTGTTCGATATCCTTGTTAAGAGGATTGTTAACAAAGGGTTAATTTGCAATATTGTGTCATTTTACTCGATGCGAAATTAACATTCTTAGTTGCAGTCTTTTTATTTTATAAAATGATAATCCGCCACTTTTAATGTGAAAATGACGACACTTAACGGATTCTGCTTTTTACACCGTCTTATTTGATATCCGTATCAGAAGAAAAAAAGATAATCAACCACTTTGTAAGGACTGCCATTTTTAATATACAAAAGCGAAAAAAAATTTCCATTGACATTGGGATTAAAAAGCTGTGTGGAAGTTTGTGAAAACGCTCGAAAATACATGCCTGAAAGTTTTCCTCCTTGCGATATATCTTGTCGCGGTCGGCATTGTTTTAATCGGTCCATAATTTTGCTTTCGCCGTTTTCCAATAGATATTATATGGTATTGCAAAAGGCCTATGTGGACCTCGTATAATAATTTTGGGCATTGGTGGAGATATTAAATGATTTGTATCCGCATAGCAAAGTTAATAGCAATGGAAAAAGTAAGTTTGCGAGCCAAGCCCTCGTCATTTGTGGGAGGTTTTAGTTTTCTGTTTCAATATGATGCTTGCAAATGTCGCTATTAACGAGCGCACCCGTTGTGAGTAATACCGAATTTTCTTGGAACTCCACGCGTTCAAATGAAATTGTGTACAATGTCATTCATTGCATTCAAAATGCTATACCAAGTTAGAATGATGGGTTTCCGTTAGCCTGCAGGCTAAAAGACTTTATAAGGATGTTGAACGCACTGTACAGCCTGTTTAGAGTCGTGCTGAGGGTAAGAAAATAGAGTAGAGAATAGAGCCGAGGGTTATAAAATAGGGTATGAATTTGCACTAAGAATCGGCCACGACTCTCCAAAGCATTTGACATGACAAACTTAGGGCTGTTGTCGTTATTATTATTAAAAGCTCCGAACCTTTCACCACGACGGAATGCTGTTCCATACATATAATCAATGCCTGACATTTACACCTGCTTTGCAGGTGTTCATCTTGCTGCGCTTGAAGAAACACTGGTATATTGGTTAACTTTCACATCACATCCAAGTTATTTAAAACATTTAGATGCTCAAAGAGATTAAGTTAACCGATGGAATAATACATTTGATAATGAAGAAAGTTCAATTTTTTAGTATTTTGGGAATTCCCCACGTTTTAAAAACAATAGTGAAATAAGAAATAAAAAAACGAAACAATGGCACTCTTGGAGATGCCGGGAAAAAAAGAAAGACGATATTCGGGATTTGAAATTGAGAAAAGGAAGCAGAAAATTTTTGTTTTAAAAAAAGAGGAACAATTTTCTTTTGAGTAAGAAAGAAGAAAAATAAAAAATGAAGTAAGATATTTAAATACATAACAAAAAAGGTTGCCAGTACTTTTTATATGCTTTTTATGTGTGTGTGTTTTATGAAGAAAGCGAGGGGCGTAAAGTTGTTTGCAAAAAAAAGAAGAGAAGAGTAACTACAAGAAGACTCGAAGAGTCAAATCGTTTACTCTTCAAGCAAGAGATGTTGAACGGCAGCCATCAAGGAGATAAATCATATAAGAAACAAGAAAAAAAAGCTAATAATACATTACCAAGGTATATCCATATTTTTCATGTTCGCTTTCTAACGGTTTGATACAAGTCTAGTCTGAAGTGGTTTTAGCGTAAATGAAAAACGATGTTCATTTAATTAGGAGAAAATTGATGTTGTTGTGAGCGATTAGAGCAGTTGGGAAAGGAGCTGCAATACTCTCTAAAAATAATCCTACTCAAGCAAGCGCGGGTAGTTTATTTAGCCCGATAAACTTGCTTCTTCGCGGTATTGTTGATGTGTTTTAAAT